CCCAAGTGACAACACCCCCCTCCCCCCACCCAGTTTGGGCATATTGGGTATTTGTGCCAAATCTGGTCCACTGAATGAAAATACATCCTGCATATCAGATATTTACATGAAGTAGCAATGAAAATACTTTTATGGTTGGGGGTCACAACAAGATCAGGAACTGTATTAAGGGGTCACGGCATTAGGAAGGTTGAGAACCACTGCTCCAAAATGATATCTTTTTATTTAAAGTGGTTGCTGCTGATTTAATAATTATTTCTTCAATTTTTTTGCTTTGCTTAAGATTTCCAGTTGCTCAAGAGTGTGTGGCCTTATTTTTATCAGTTGTCTCTTCTTGGTCCTCAGAAAGGGAGGAAGTAGAGTGGGCCCAAACTTTCTGTTGAAGGCCCTGTCTATAAGCCAGAAATTTTCAGCTATTGTGCAATTTACACAGTCAATAAATCAATCGATGCACCAATCTTTAGCTTCTCATTACACAGGAAGCAATCTTGCAGATTTGTTACCCTTCAGATCACTAGAACACTTTCTTTATTAACCCCCATTGTCCTTGATCATTGTGTGGACTATAACACTCATCACCCATAATCCAAAATATCCAGAGCTGGAGTGAAATGCAATCACATCCAAAATCCACAAAAAAAGCTTCAATTTTTATTGGGTCAACCAAGAATGTATAAGACACTAGATGAAAGCTTTCAAAGACCAAGGTGCTTGTTTATAAAGCTATTGTCCTCCCAACCCTGCTATACGCCTGTGAAACGTGGTCTACCGACGTCACACTCAACTCCTGGAAAGATTCCATCAGTGTTGCCTCTGAAAAATCCTGCAGATCTCTTGGGAAGACAGACAGACAAATGTCAGCATGCTGGAAGAAGCAAAGACCACCAACACTGAAGTGATGCTCCTATGCCATCAGCTCCACTGGACTGGCCATGCTGTCTGAATGCCCGATCACCATCTCCCAAAGCAAATAAAAAGCAAAGGGGACGTGTGAAAAAGAGTTTGGAGTTCTTGTGGACAAGTTAAACATGAGCCAACAATGTGGTGCAGTGGCAAAAAAAGCCAACAGGATTTTGGTTTGCATCAGTAGGAGTATAGTGTCTAGATTCAGGGAAGTCAGGCTACTCCTCTATCTCTACCTTGGTTAGACAACTCCTGGAATACTGTGTCCAATTCAGGGCACCACAATTGAAGGGAGATGTTGACAAGCTGGAATGTGTCCAGAGAAGGGTGACTAAAATGATCAAGGGTATGGAGAACAAGCCCTATGAGGAGCAGCTTAAAGAACTGGGTATGTTTAGTTTGCAGAAGAGAAGGCTGAGAGGAGACATGATAGCCATGTATAAATACGTGAGTTGAAGTCATAGGGAGGAGGGACCAAGCTTGTTTTTGCTGCCCTGGAGACTAGGACTCGGAACAATGGCTTCAAACTACAAGAAAGGAGATTCCATCTGAATATTAGGAAGAACTTCCTGACTGTGAGAGCTGTTCAGCAGTGGAACTCTCTGTCCTGGAGTGTGGTGGAGGCTCCTTCTTTGGAGGCTTTCAAACAGAGGCTGGATGACCATCTGTCGGGGGTGCTTTGAATGCGATTTTCCTGCTTCTTAGCAGGGGGTTGGACTGAATGGCCCACGAGGTCTCTTCCAACTCTATGATTCTAGGTAAATCTTGAATGGGACTGCCTTTCACCTGGAAACCAATGTCCTCACTGCGGGAGAACATGCGGATCAAGAATAGGGCTCCAGAGCCCTTGGAGGACCATCTTCCTCAGGCTTCAAGGGATTGCCAAAGTAAGCAAGCCTTCCAAGCTCCATTAGCTTCTTCATCAGGCAAAGAAGCCATTATAAATCTTATAGAAGAGGGGGAAATGAGGATGGTAGAGTGAAACGGTAAGAAAGGAAGTATCCAGGCTTTTCCTGGATGTTTATTTTCTTCACAACTCCTTTTTCAGTGCAAATCAAACACTTGAAAGTCTTATTATCACCTCACTCACTTGTCAGTGCAAGGAAGGTCCCTCTGGTACCCCGACATGTGGCGAATGGGATCACCGCCTCTGCTTTGAAAGAGAAGGTCCCAGAGCGGAGCTTTTCTGCATTCTCCTTTCCAATGGGAATCATAATAAAGGGCGGAAAATGTCTTTAGTAAAATGTTCTTTCTTCACAGGAGAAATAACTCAGAGGGCATGCTTTGCATGCAAAAAGACCCTGGCGAAAAGAATCAAAGACCCAAGAGATCAGCTACCCGTTAGTACAGAGCCAAGTTATTACACCCTGCTGGGCTACATGGACAAGTCATCTGGCCTGATATAAGGCACTTTAACAAAGAAGCAGGAAAAAATAGGTCTGTGAGCATTTGGGGGATCCTGAAATGATCTGTGAGCATAGAGGGGGCTTTGTTTAATCCACCACCTGCAGAAGGGAAACTCTCAAAATAAGCATTGTTTTTTTTTAAAGCCATAAAGCAGCCGAGACGTGCATTGAGGTGCAATAAATGGGCAGGTATATTGGAAATCCAGTCAGGCTCCATTCTTTTTTGGAGCACAGATGGCTCCTCATCAGGAGGATTTTACACATTCAGAGTGTTTAATCTTCGAAACTAGGGAGCCAAAAAGCAGGGCGGATGGTGTGTGCACACATATATACAGATTGTACATGTACACTGCAGAATTAATGTGGCTTGAAACCACTTGAACTGCCATGGCTCAATCCTGTGGAACAATCAGAGTTGTAGTATGACAAGGATTTAGCCTTCTCTGCCAAATAATAATAATAATAATAATAATAATAATAATAATAATAATAATACATTATTATTATTATTATTATTATTATTATTATTATTATTATTATTATTATTATTAATCACACAGTCCTAGATTGTGTGATGTATCAGCAAATAATGTGTGCAGATCCCAATAAGGTGGCCTTCTGCAGCTGGTAGATTGTAATTTTGTCAGCGCCGATTGAGTTCAAGCGCAAGTCAAAGTCAAGCCATACTTTGTTTTTTTAACACGATTGTGAGGTCAGTATTGTGCTCCAAAACTCTGTCAATCTGAATTCAGAAGTCCCAGAGGAGTTTGACGTGTTCATTCTCTGTAACTTTTCCCAGCTTGAGATCCCACTAGTTCTTTGTCACAGGCAGATGGTATTCGTGGCACAGGTTCCAATGAATCATCTGAGCACTGGTGTTATGCCTCTGCTTGTAGTCTGTCTGCGCGATCTTCTTGCAGCAGCTGAGGATGTGATCTATTGTTTCAGCTGCTTCCTTGCAGAGTCTACACTTGGGATCTGTTGTCGACTTTTCAATTCTGGGTTTGATGGCATTTGTTCTAATGGCTTATTCTTGGGCTGCCAGAATCAGGCCTTCCGTCTCCTTTTTCAAAGTTCCATTTGTGAGCCACATTTATGATATTATTATTATTATTATTATTATTATTATTATTATTGGTCATTTAGTCTAACAACTGAAACCATGGCCTGGCATAATTATATCTGGTTGTATACCACAAGAGAAGTTTGGACTCCACAGCAATGGTTCTCAACCTGTGGGTCCCCAGATGTTTTGGTCTTCAACTCCTAGAAATTCTAACAGCTGGCTGGATTTCTGGGAGTTGTAGACCAAAACACCTGGGGACCCACAGGTTGAGAACCACTGGAACAGGGCGATAAGAAGACTGTGTATGTCAATACACATTCCTCCTTCTTTGGAGGCTTTTATCCAGAGGCTCAATGGCCATCTGTCGGGGGTGCTTTGAATGCGATTTTTCTGCTTCTTGGCAGGGCCAAAACCCCTGGGGACCCACAGGCTGAGAACCACTGTGACAGGACGATAAGAAGACTGTGTATGTCAATACACCTCCTTCTTTGGAGGCTTTTAAACAGAGACTGGGTGGCCATCTGTTGGGGGTGCTTTGAATGTGATTTCCTGCTTCTTGGCAGGGCCAAAACACCTGGGGACCCACAGGCTGAGAACCACTGGGATAGGGCGATAAGAATGTGTATGTCAATACACATTCCTCCTTCTTTGGAGGCTTTTGAACAGAGGCTGGGTGGCCATCTGTTGGGTTTGCTTTGAATGCAATTTTTCTGCTTCTTGGCAGGACCAAAACACCTGGGGACCCACAGGCTGAGAACCACTGGGATAGGGTGATAAGACTATGTCTATACACATTCCTCCTTCTTTGGAGACTTTTAAACAGAGGCTGGGTGGCCATCTGYCAGGGGTGCTTTGAATGCAATTTTCTGCTTCTTGGCAGGGTCAAAACACCTGGGGACCCACAGGTTGAGAACCACTGGGATAGGGTGATAAGAAGACTGTGTATGTCAATACACATTCCTCCTTCTTTGGAGGCTTTTGAACAGAGATGGCCATCTGTCGGGGGTGCTTTGAATGCGATTTTTCTGCTTCTTGGCAGGACCAAAACGCCTGGAGAACCACTGGGACGGGGCGATAAGGAGACTGTGTATGTCAATACACATTCCTCCTTCTTGGGAGGCTTTTAAACAGAGGCTGGGTGGCCATCTGTCGGGGGTGCTTTGAATGCGATTTTTCTGCTTCTTGGCAGGGCCAAAGCAGCAGGGGACCCACAGGTTGAGAACCACTGCGCTAAAGGGTTTTGGCTCTTCTCTGATAGGTGATGCTCTTCAAAAAGTGTTTTCCCAGAAGGTTATAAATGCTGTTTTCCAAAAGCGCTTTCGTGGAAGGGCGTGTAGGTGTGTATCCGCGGGAAAGAAAAAAAAAGCCAACTTTGGGGGCAAGACTTTGAGGGTTTTGATTCTCCTCACCCCCCCCCCCTTCCTCCCAACGGCTGTGCAGCTCCGAGGACATGCAGCAACCGCTCCGAAAGCCAGTGTTCACATTGGCAGAGCTCCGAAAAAAAGAAACTTTGGGGGCGGGTGGGGGAAAGACCTGACAAGGAGGCGCGTTGTTGGCATTGGCAGAGCCTCCCCCTCCCTCGCTTTCCGCGGCTGGGCCTGCCTCCCTCCCTCCTTCTCCCTCTCCCTCCCCTCCTTTTCCGAAGGGGGAGGAGCCCCGGCGCATTTCTGGCTGGCGCCTCAAAGCGGGCCGAGCTCTCGAGGCGGCAAGAGCATCTCCGTCCAAGATCCTCCATCTGCGGAGCCCTCCTTCCTGGCTTTCTGAAGGAGGATCCCTCCTCCTTCCCCGCTCTGCCCTCCCGGATCTGCGGAGATGAGGGACCGGCGGAGGCGGCCAAGAGAGGCAGCGAAGGGGAGCGAAGGCGGGCAAGGGGAGCCCGCGATGCCGGCTTGAAGGCAGGGAGCGTCGCCCGCCCGCCCCGCGGCTCTGGATGCTGCTGCGGCGGCTGCTCCGCGCTTGGGAGCGCGCATGGCGGCGGCAGCTTCTGGGCAGCAGCAGCATCAGCGGCGGCCCTCGAGGCGGCGGGGCTCGAAGGGGCGGCCTCCTCCCGCTCCTCCGCCTCCTCCTCCGCCGCCGCGTCCTCGCCTGCCGGGCCTGCGGGCGGTGCGGTGGCGGAGGGCGGCCCCGTTGCGCCGGGCGCTGTGGCTGCTGGCCGTGGGCGCCTCGCTGGGCTTGCTCCTGGCCTGGTCGTCCAACCGGCTCCTCCACTGGCTGGCCTTCCCTTCGCACACCACGGTGCGCACCGAGTGGAGCCGCCGCCTGGCCTTCCCGGCCGTCACGCTCTGCAACAACAACCCGCTCCGTTTCCCGCGCCTCTCCAAGGGCGACCTCTACTACGCGGGCCACTGGCTCGGCCTCCTCTGGCCCAACCGGACGGCGCGGCCGCTCCTGGACGAGCTGCTCCGGGCCGAGCCCGAGCGGCGGCGCTGGTTCGCCAAGCTGGCCGACTTCCGCCTCTTCCTGCCGCCCCGGCACTTCGGGGGCATCAGCCGCGAGTTCGTGGACCGCCTCGGACACCGCCTCGATGACATGCTGCTCTCCTGCAAGTTCCGCGGAGAGCCGTGCGGGCCCCACAACTTCTCCGCCGTGAGTTGGGAGGGGAAAAGGGAAGGGAGGCGGGCCGGGCACACGCAGCCTCCTCCTCAGGAAGAGCAGGCGCCTAGGAAGTGGATCTCCCCCCCCCTCCTCCTCCTCAACATCATCATCCTCATCATCATCAAAAGTAGATGCTCAACAGGTGTAACTCGGAGCTCCCCCCTCCTCACCATCCTCCTCATCATCACTGAAAGCAGGCACCCAATAGGTGTAGCCCCTCTCCTCCTTCTCATCACCATCCTCATCATGAAGAGCAGGCACCCAACAAGTGTAGTTGCCCTCTTCCTCATCATCATCAAAAGCAGATGCCCAACAGGTGTAGCTCGTAGGTCCCCCTCCTCATCATCACCATCCTCATCATCATCATTGAAAGCAAGCACCCAATAGGTGTAGCCCCTCTCCTCCTCTTCATCACCATCGTCATCATGAAGAGCAGGCACCCAACAAGTGTAGTTGCCCTCCTCCTCCTTAGCACCATCCTCCTCCTCCTCCTCCTCCTTCTCATYATCATCAAAAGCAGATGCCCAACAGGTGTAGCTTATAGGTCCCCCTCCTCCTCATCACATCCTCATCATCATCATCATCATCGAAAGCAGGCACCCAATAGGTGTAGCCCCTCTCCTCCTTCTCATCACCATCCTCATCATGAAGAGCAGGCACCCAACAAGTGTAGTTGCCCTCCTCCTCATCATCAAAAGCAGATGCCCAACAGGTGTAGCTCATAGGTCCCCCTCCTCATCATCACCATCCTTATCATTGAAAGCAGACACCCAATAGGTGTAGCCCCTCTCCTCATCACCATCCTCATAATGAAGAGCAGCCATCCAAGAAGTGTAGCTCTCCTCCTCCTYAGCATCATCATCCTCTTCATCATCAAAAGTAGATGCTCAACAGATGTAACTGGGAACTCCCCCCTCCTCACCATCCTCATAAATTCATCACTGAAAGCAGACACCCAATAGGTGTAGCCCTTCTCCTCCTCATCACCATCCTCATCATGAAGAGCAAGCGCCCAACAAGTGTAGCTGCCCTCCTCCTCCTTAGCACCATCCTCCTCATCATCAAAAGCAGATGCCCAACAAGTGTAGCTCTTAGGTTCCCCTCCTCATTATCACCATCCTCATCACCATCATTGAAAGCTCACACCCAATAAGTGTAGCCCCTCTCCTTATCATGAAGAGCAGGCGCCCAAGAAGTGTAGCTCCCCTCCTCCTCCTCAGCATCCTCCTCATCATCATCATCACAAGTAGATGCCCAACAGGTGTAGCTCGGAACTCCCCCCCTCCTACTCCTCACCATCCTCACCATCGTCAATGAAAGCAAGCACCAAAAACGTGTAGCCCCACTCCTCCTCACCATTACCATCCTCATCATGAAGACCAGATGCCCAGCAAGTGTAGATCCCTTCCTCCTCCTCACCATTCCCATCATCATCAAAAGCAATTGCCCAACAGGTGTAGCTCATAGATCCCCTCCTCCTCATCACCATCCTCATCATCATCAATGAAAGCAGACACCCAATAGGTGTAGCCCCCCTCCTCATCACCATCACCATCCTCATGATCATCATCGAAAGCAGATGCCCAACTACCGTAGCCCTTCTCCTCCCCACTCCATCATCATCATCATCATCATCAGAAGTAAACCCCCAAGAGGTATATATCCCCCTTCTCCTCTTCATCATCACCATCCTCATCACCATCATTAAAAGCAGACACCCAACTTGTGTAGCCCTTCTCCTCTTCCTCCTCCTCACCATATCATCATCAAAAGTCCAACAGGTGGTTCCCTCCTCCTTCGCCTCCTCTTCCTCATCATCAAAAGCAGATGCCCAACAGGTGTAGCTCCCCTGCTCCTCCTCATCGCCATCCTCATAGTCCTCATTAAAAGCAGACACCCAATAGGCGTAGCCCCTCTCATTACAACCATCATCATCATCATCATCATCATCATCATCATCATCATCAAAAGCAGATGCCCAACAGGTGTAGACCTCTGTGCTCCTCCTCTCTCCCCTCATCCTCATATTCATTAAAAGCAGGCACTCAACAGGTGTAATTCCCTTCTCCTCCTCACCACCCTCCTCCTTCCTCAAAAGCAGATGCACAACTGGTGTAGCTCCCTCCCACCCCCAATGACATCCTCATCATCCAAAGCAGATTCCCCAACAGATGTACCTCCCCAGCGGTCTAGAGCATAGCTCCTCCAACTTTGCCGACTTCACCTTTTTTGGCCGGAGACATTTTTTATGTCACCTCACTCCCCCGAGATATCAAATAGGTTTAGTAATTGAAGATTTACTGATAACAAATTAGCATTTGCAAGGCTTGCTGAACAGGCTGGTTTCCTTTTTTGTGAAGCACAGGGAGCCCCCAAGTTATAAAGAAGATAGGATCTGTTGAGGTTTTTTTTTCTTAAGTTGAATTTGTTTGTAAGTTGGAACAGGTACATTTTAAGTGTACCTCCAGCCATATATAGAGTTTGTGTGTGTGTGTGTGTGTGTGTGTTATGGATACCTTCTCCCCATGATAACCCTTTCAGAAGTGGATTTCCCTTCCGAGGGGTAGATTTCTCTCACTTCCTGTTGTCTCACCCCGTTCTTAACTAGGAGTCTTGTGTAAGCTGGATGTTTGTAGCTCAGGGACTGCCTGTACAGCTGAAGATAGGTTCCTGTAAAAGTCTGAAACAGCCATAGAATTTCTTTTAGTAGCTAAGGGCCATTTGGGTCCAGGATCTAATCTGTTCACAGCCGTGTGCTACAGTGGACTCTGCAGAAGGTGCTTCGGCTATACAAAATCTGCTTGTTTAGCAAACCTTGCTGCTTTATTATTAGTAAATGCTTGATTTGTATGCCAGTTTTGTGTATCTATGTACCCAGGGTCAGATACAAATTTCCTCAGGCCAAAAGGAGTTCCAAGTGGAAAAGTTTAAGAAGTCCTGTTGTATAGCACCTCCATCATAACACTAAGGAAATCCTTTTGGGCATCCCAAGATCACTGCCTTTGGCCCAATCCTAGGTTGAGAGATTATTTAAAATAATAAAAAAAACAGCAATGTGACAGGTAGAGCACTGACAGTTGTAGCTCTCCAATGTTGTAGAAATGCTGCCAAATAAGGAGGCACTCCACTTGTTGCTTTTCCCGGCTTGTGTAGAGCTCCATCACAAAGCTAGGAAGAGAAATGTTCTGGGGAAATAATACTGGGCATCCCAGAATGGTACCTGTCCTTGGCCCTATCTCCACTGACCATCTAATGAAGTTCAAAGATAGCTTCAAACTGTAGTGGCCAGACAACAAACACTCACAAAGATGATCAAAAGAAAGCCTCAGTGCTCTGTGGTTTGTTTACTGGCCACCTTGAGCTTTTAACTGATACCAAGAATTCCTATCTGCACTACTGAAACCAATTTATTTATTTACTAGCCGTACCCTGCCATGCATTGCTGTGACCCAGTCTGGTAATCTTGAAAATAAAGTAATGAGAAATTGTTGGTTTCTAATATATGCAATGTCTTGATGCTTGTGGATAAACAGTACTTCTTGTTTCTTTGTCACTGTTGATGGGGAGATTGTGTGGTTTGCCTACTCTGGAACATGCAACATATTATTGTCCTTCTTTAGGGGTCCCTTTCAAATCTATGATACTGTGCTGTTTTGTAAGCTATCCTGAGTCCATTTTGGGAGATGATGGTAGGATATTCATAAAATTGTTATCATAATCATAAATATTATTCTTATTTGAAACACAACAAGATGTGTCTACAGCAAACAAGAACACTACGCTGGTTGTTGTATGGGATCACACATCTGACACTTCCCGAGTGTCTAGGACTGTGTGATGTATTGGCGAATAATGCGTGCAGATCCCAGTAGGGTGGCCTTTTGCAGCTGACAGATGGTAATTTTGTCAGCGCTGATTGTGTTTAAGTGCAGGCCAAGGTCTTTAGGTACTGCACCCAGTGTGCCGATCACCACTGGGACCACCTTTATTGGCTTGTGCCAGAGTCTTTGCAGTACAATCTTTAAATCCTCATACTGTATCAACTTTTCCAGTTCTTTCTCTTCAATCCTGCTGTCACCTGGGATTGCAACATCCATACTTGGTTTTTTAACATGATCATGATATTATTGTGTCTTTGTTTGTAGTCCGTCTGTGCAATTTTCTTGCAACAGCTGAGGACATGATCCATGATTTCATCAACTTCCTTGCACAGTCTGCATTTTGGGTCATCCACTGATATTTCAATCCTGGCCTTAATTGCATTGGTTCTGATGGCTTGCTCCTGGGCTGCAAGAATCAGGCCTTCTGTCTCCTTCTTCAGGGTTCCATTCATGAGGTCTTCTCCTTGTCAACTTTTTCTTCAATCTTCTCAAGGAACTGCCCATGTAAGGCTTTGTTGTGCCAGCTCCCAGCTCTGGTTTAGAGTGCAGTTTTCTTGTACTGACTCTTTGTCTGCTGTGCTTTGAGAAGTTTCCAGTTATTGACTTCAATTAAAGCAGGTTCTTGGCTTTCTATGACATATTCTGCCAGGGCATGTTTGTTTATTATTATTATTATTATTATTATTATTATTATTATTATTACAGATTAGTTCTGTCTAGCTAAAGTTGGAAATGAGGAAACTCTGGATGTGTTTATACCCATTTGTGTGGGTAAAACTCTTGTGTTTTTACTTATCTGTGTGTGTAAGAAGACAGATAGAGGTGGTTAAAAATGTTTTGCTGTATCTGTTGTGTTATCCCAAAACAGCAGTATGACAAGCAGGTATTTATCAGTTGGAAGTTCTCACTGTTTGCTGCAAGCTGGTACCCTGAGAAGCACCGTCTGTTGAATTTCTTCCTGTCATGAGTTTCAGTCTTGAAAGCCCATCTCCCTGTGAATGAAGCAGAACATTACTGCAATAGGCAGGGAAGAACCCATAACAGTGCTTCTTTTGCAATGAAGGAGGACTTTTCAGCTCTTAGAGAGCTTCTCTTGTGACAGTGAAGGTG